GGATTACAGGCGTGAGCCACCATGCCTGGCGGATTTTTTTTTTTTTAAAGAAGAATGTAAGTAAAGTATCTCGATTTTTAAAATGTTTATTACATGTTGAAATGAAATTATTTTGTGATATATTGAGTTATTTTTATTTTTAAAATTTTAAATGTGACCACCGGAAAATTTAAAATTATACATGTGACTAACCATTCTATTTCTACTAGCACTGGCTTACAGACTGAAGTATAAGATATTTAGATTTGAAGTATAATTTTCTTGAGCAGTACTTAGTATTGTTTAAGTTATTAAAAGTATACTTCATGTGATGGATATCCCAGTTACCCTGATTTGATAATTATACATTGTATACAGGTATTAATATGTACAACTGTTATATATCAATTTAAAAAAGAGGAAAAAAGTATACCTATGTACATTATGTGCTAATTATGTATTGGCTTGAGAAGCTAAATCTTACAGATATGTTTGTTTCTATAGGAAAAAGTTAGAACTTTTTTTCTTCTTTACTTTTTTCTTTTTCTTATTTTTTTTAAATCTAATTTTTTTTTTTTTTTTTTTTTTTTTTTTTTTTTTTTTTTTGAGACATTGTCCCTCTCTGTCACCCAGGCTAGAGTGCAATGGTGCGATCTTGGCTTACTGCAACCTCGGCCTCCCAGGCTGGAGTGCTCCTCCTGCCTCAGCCTCCTGAGTAGCTAGGATTACAGGCATGTGTCACCACGTGGACCTGGCTGATTTTTCTATTTTTAGTAGAGACTGGGTTTTGCCATGTCATCCAGGCTGGTCTTGAGCTCCTGGGCTTAAGCATTTTTCCTGCCTCAATCTTCCAAAGTGGGATTACAGATGTGAGCCACTGTGCCTGAGCTAGAACTTTTTTAAGAAACAGGGCTGTGCTCTGTCGCTCAGTCTGGAGTGCAGTGGTGTAGTCATAGCTCACTGCAGCCTTGGACTCCTGGGTTCAGCCTCCTGAATAACAAGGACTATAGATGTGCGCCCCCTGGCTAATTTTTTTCTTCAATTTTTGGTGGAGACAGGATCTCACTTTGTTGTGCAGTCTGGTCTCGAACTCCTGGCTTCAAGTGATCCTCCTGCCTCAGCCTGCTGAAGTGCTGGGATTACAGGCATGAGCCATCGTGTCCGGCCAAGACCTACCTCTTAACATCACTTTCCCCCCAAAAAATTCTAATAGTAGTTTTAAAAATATTTTTTTGCCCTCTGAATTCTTCCCTTCCCTTTCTCTGAATTCTTAGGATATCTGCCTTCTATCTTATAAGGATAACTGTTTTTTACTTTGTATTTTTGGTGATATACACCCATTATTTCCTAAACTAAACGATATTTCAAAAGAATCTTCTTTGTACTGAATTAAGAGCCATATAACTTGGCATATGCATGTTATTTCTGTAGATCTCATTTATGTTAAGGTATGATTAGTTTCTCTTGCTTTATTTCCATAGATACCTTTTTAAAAAGTAATTCTATAGACATGTACAAAGGAAACAATCTAAATGGAATTGCCCCCACTTTTTGGAGAGCAAGCTAATAGAGATAACCTACACAGATAGATGTACTAACCAGGAAATAGGCATATAACAGTTGAAGTACTTTTAGAATGATGGGAGAAGTAAAGATTTCAGGAAGGAGAAAAAATTGAAGAATAATTATTTATATGGTTACATATAATTACAGAAAAGTAGAACAAAGTATAAAGCAGGAAAAAATTTCACCTGTATCTTACCGCTTAGAGGCAGCCATTGTTAACCCTTTTGCATATGTATAACCGTATGCATATATATAAAATTTTTTCCAGACAGTCTCACTCTTAGGCTGGAGTGCAATGGCATGATTGTGGCTCACTAGCCTTCAACTCCTGGACTGAAGCGATTCTCCTGCCTCAGCCTCCAGAGTAGCTCAAATTACAGGCTCATGCCACCACAGTGGGCTAACTTTTTACATTTTAAAAATATTATATTGGCCAGGCACGGTGGCTCACGCCTGTAATCCTAGCACTTTAGGAGGCTGAGGTGGGCGGATCACCAGGTCAGGAGATCAAGACCATCCTAGCTAACATGGTGAAACCCCATCTCTACTGAAAATAATAAAAAGTTAGCCGGTGGCATGTGCCTTTAGTCCCAGCTACTTGGGAGGCTGAGGCAGGAGAATCCCTTGAACCTGGGAGGTGGAGGTTGCAGGGAGCCGAGATTGTGCCACTGCACTCCAGCCTGGGTGACAGAGTAAGACTCTGTCTTAAAAAAAAAAAAAAAAAAAAAAAAAAAAAAGGGCCGGGCGCGGTGGCTCAAGCCTGTAATCCCAGCACTTTGGGAGGCCGAGACGGGCGGATCACGAGGTCAGGAGATCGAGACCATCCTGGCTAGCACGGTGAAACCCCGTCTCTACTAAAAAATACAAAAAACTAGCCGGGCGAGGTGGCGGGCGCCTGTAGTCCCAGCTACTCGGGAGGCTGAGGCAGGAGAATGGCGTAAACCCGGGAGACGGAGCTTGCAGTGAGCTGAGATCCGGCCACTGCACTCCAGCCTGGGCGACAGAGCGAGACTCCGTCTCAAAAAAAAAAAAAAAATTGCACTGGGTGCCGTGGCTCACTCCTGTAATCCCAGCACTTTGGGAGGCTGAGGTGAGTGGATCACGAGGTTAGGAGTTTGAGACCAGCCTGACCAACATGGTGAAACCCCGTCTCTACTAAAAATACAAAAATTAGCTGGGTGTGGTGGCGCACACCTGTAATCCCAGCTACTCAGGAGGCTGAAGCAGGAGAATCACTTGAACCTGGGAGGTGGAGGTTGCAGCGAGCTGAGATCATGCCACTGCACTCCAGCCTGGGTGACAGAGTGGGACTCCACCTAAAAATAAAAAAAAAATTATTGCAAAATGATATATGAGTAATGCTAATTTAAAAAATTTAAACAGGGCTGAATGCGGTGGCTCACGCCTCTAATCCCAGCGCTATGGGAGGCTGAGGTGGTGAATTGCTTGAGGCCAGGAGTTCGAGACCAGCTTGGCCAACATGGTGAAACTCCATCTCTACTAAAAATACAAAAATTAGCCAGGCATAGTGGTATGTACCTGTAGTCCCAGCTACCTGGGAGGCTGAGGCACAAGAATTGCTGGAACCAGGAAGGCAGAAGTTGCAGTGAGCTAAGATCATGACACTGCATGCCAGCCTGGGCAACAGAGTGAGATTCTGTCTCAGGAAAGTAAATACATAAATAAAAATAAAAATTCAAACAGGCTGGGCATGGTGGCTCATTCCTGTAATCCTAACACTTTGGGAGGCCAGAGTGGGAAGATCACTTGAGCCCAGGAGGTTGAGACCATCCTGGGCAACATAGTGAGACCCCATCTCTACCCCCACAAAAAAAATTGGTGATTGTCCTAGTGTGCACCTATAGTCCCAACTACTCAGGAGGCTGAGGCAAGACAGAATGCTTGATCCTAGGTGATTGTACCACTGCCCTCTAGTCTGGACAACAGAGTGAGACTCTCTCAAAAAAGAAAAAAAAATTCAAACAATATAGAATTATTTAGAATCACAAAAAAAGTTTTCCTTTTCCTTCCTTCCCAGTCACCCCCCCTTTCTCCATAGGGAATATCTTTTTACAGTATGTATATAAATACATACATTTTTGTGATTATTATAATTAATGTACATGGGATTGTGTATTCATTGATTTGTGTTTTTCCTACCCATTATGCCTTAGGAATCTTTCTATAATATAGATCTCTTGCATTTTAAAAGAGAGTGGATAGGGCTGGGTATGGTAGCTTACACCTGTAATCCCAGCACTTCGGGAGGCTGAGGTGGGTGGATCACAAGGTCAAGAGTTTGAGACCAGCCTGGCCAACATGGGGAAACCCATCTGTATTAAGAATATAAAAATTAGCCGAGCATGGACGGGCGTGGTGGCTTATGCCTGTAATCCCAGCACTTTGGGAGGCTGAGGTGGGCAGATCACCTCAGGTCGGGAGTTCAAGACCTGCCCAACATGGAGAAACCCCGTCTCTACTAAAAATACAAAATTAGCCGGGTGTGGTGGCACATGCCTGTAATCCCAGCTACTAGGGAGGCTGAGGCAGGAGAATTCTTGAACCTGGGAGGAGGAGGTTGTGGTGAGCCGAGATCACGCCATTGCACTCCAGCCTGGGCAGCAAGAGCAAAATCCGTCTCAAAAAATAAATAAAAAATAAAAAAATTAAAAAATTAGCCGAGTGTGGTGGGCTACTCGGAAGGCTGAGGCAGGAGAATCACTTGAACCTGGAAGGTGGAAGTTGCAGTGAGCTGAGATCCAGCCACTGTACTCCAACATGGGCGACAGAGTGAGAGTCTGTCTCCAAAAAAAAAAAAAAGAGTGGATAGAATTTTTGAAAATAAGTAAATGCACATATTAAGGAATTCCAGCAGAATAGAAGAGCACTGAATAGAATTGTTCCCCAGTTATCCCTCCTGCCTGTTACCTTGAGTTTTGTATGACATTCCAGAAATCTATGCTTCTGTAGGTACCTTTTCTTTTTCTTTTTTTTAAACACAAGTGAGCTCATCGTATAGTTTCAAGAAAATAAAGGATAGATCAAACTGAAAATAGGTATTTTTCTATTAACATTAATGGAAATGTTAATTAAGAACTTTATACTTTTTAATGACTGATTTTTCATTATGTGAAGTACTAGTTTATTTAGCTTTTCTCTTGTTAGCTGCTTAAAGTTTTCAGTTTTTCACTGAAAAACAGATGGAACTCAAAGTCTAGTTTTGACTGATGTGCCTTTAAATTGCAAAATATACATATTTAGTTTAAATATACTTTTTCTTATGTTTGTATTAGTGTTACAAGTTGACCAGTTACCAAACCCTTGAGTTCTGTGAGTCTACATAAAATTTTGCATTAAAAGCACAAAAATAACCTGATAATGCTATTAGTTTTTAATGTAAAATTTGTGAAATGATAGGTAATGGATTTTTGTTTTTGTTTTTGTTTTTTAATCAGTGACTTTTTTGAACGAACCATTCTGTGCAACAGCCTTGTGTGGAGTTGTGCTGTGACGGGTAGACCTGGACTGACGTATCAGGAAGCACTTGAGTCAGAAAAAAAAGCAAGACAGAATCTTCAGAGTTTTCCAGAACCACTAATTATTCCAGTTTTATACTTGACCAGCCTTACCCATCGTTCACGCTTACATGAAATTTGTGATGATATCTTTGCATATGTCAAGGATCGATACTTTGTTGAAGAAACTGTGGAAGTCATTAGGAACAATGGTGCAAGGTAAAGTACTTTTAATTTTTCCTCTTGGTAAGTTTATATTCACATTGCTCAAATTCAAAACACACAAAATGATGACCTAAGAAATCTTCCCTTTTACTATGCTCCAGCTATCCTGTTAACCCACAGATAGCCCTGGTGTTAGCTGTTTCTTGTATATCTTTCCAAAGCTAATTTATACATATGCCACCAAAAACATATACATGCATACGTCTGTATGTATATATATAATATGTCTTATGTAACAAATACGTATGCACAAATTCCTTCTCTTTTTAATGCAAAAGAACATGTATACTCTAGATCCCTTTTCACTAAAAGATCTTGAAGGTTAGCCTACTGTTACATAAGCCGCCTTCCTTCTCTTTAATTTACTGTATAATAAAGTTCCATTTTATGGAAGTTCCATCTTTAAGAGTAGAACTCTTTAGCTAATGGTATCTACTGTGTCCTCATTATGTCACCTAATAGTTTAAATATGCCAGTATTTATTGATTGGTTTTAGTATTTTATTTAACAAAACCAGGATTGAGTTTTATATACTCCACTAAGTTCTCTTTCTTTCATACTTTCTTACACTGCTTTATTGAGCTATAACTCACATACAATACACTTCTCCTTTCTATAGTATACAAATGCAGTGTTAGTGCTTTTCCTTTTTACCGAGCTCTTCAGAAATAAAGTGGATTTTTATATGAACATTGAAAATGACATAATCTATGGCAATAAATTAAAAATTACCAGTGTTTTCCTGAAGTCTTAAGCTTTGTGATTGACTAGTCACTGACATTTATAATAATAAACTTTATATGCATTAAAACCTTTTGTAGCCTCTTGACTTTTAGGATATTAACTGTTTTGGATGCCCTGAATACAAATTTTTTTTTCTGGATTTTAAACTTTAGAAGCCAAAAGTTATTTATGTTGTTACTATTATCTTATTTGGAGAATCATTTTAAGTTTATATGTAATGTTAGAATTAATGTCTTAACAAATTAATATAATCCATTTTAATTGTTAGGTACTACCCTACTTGAATCTTACAAAGCCAAGCAACCAAATGTGTTTATATTAAGAACTAACTTATTTGGGTTTGATTTTTGGGAAGTAATTAAGTCCTTTTTTTTTTTTTTGAGACAGAGTTTCGCTCTTGTTGCCCAGGCTGGAGTGCAATGGCAAGATCTCGGTTCACTGTAACCTCTGCCTCCCGGGTTCAAGTGATTCTCATGCCTCAGCCTCCTGAGTAGCTGGGATTACAGGCACCTACCACCACGCCCAGCTAATTTTTGTATTTTTAGTAGAGACGGGACTTTATCAGGCTGGTCTTGAACTCTTGACCTCAGGTGATCCACCCGCCTCGGCCTCCCAAAGTGCTGGGATTACAGATGTAAGCCATTGCGCCTGGCCTAAGGCTTAATTTCTTAATATATTGGCTATTCTTTTTGTTGTTGTTTGAGACAAGGTCTGGCTCTGTGGTTGTTGTTGTTGTTGTTTTTAAACTTTTGGTGTAGATGAGGTCTGGCTCTGTTGCCCAGGCTAGAGTGCCATGGCTCCATCTCAGCTCACTACAACTTCTACCTCCCAGGCTCAAGCCATCCTCCTACTTCAGCCTCCTGAGTAGCTGGGACTATGGGTGCATTCCACCATGTCCAACTAGTTTTTGTATTTTTTGTAGAGATTGGGTTTCACCATGTTGCCCCAGCAGCTCTCAAACTCATGAACTCAAGTAGTCCACCTGCCTTGGCCTCCCAAAGTGCTGGGATTACAGGCTGAGCTACTGAGCCTCACCTATATTGGCCATTCGTAATTGGCGATTGTGCCTGAAGTTTTCCTCCCTTAAGTGCAACATTCTGAATGTACTCTGTTTTTTTTGTAAAAAAAGTATGGAACTCTTGTTCTAATACATTTAAATAATTAAGCATAGAACTGGGTTAGTTTGAAATGTGCTTGTAAGAACAAGAGAACAGTACTTTAGTTATTTTTATCTAAAAACTAAGAATGGTTACAGTTATTAGATCCACTCCTTAGGTCCTTTGTTCCCATGATCACTTAGATTATAAGTACCATAGGTTGGGGCTTTTGGGGAGGGTGGAGTTTGTGGAACTTGAGACTAGAGACTCCCCAATTCCTCAATTCCTCCAAAGACTGGAGACAGCACTAATTAAGAGTTCATATGTGTATTTTACTAATATATCCTCAAGGTTGGCATCTTTTACATAGCTATTTTGTCTTCTCTGTAACTTGCTGTGAGCACTATTGACAACGGAGTAATAGGTAAGGTAAGAATAGTAAAAACAAAATACTAAGAGGTGGCATATGAAAAAGGAGATTAATTGGGGATGATGAATTATAGGGAAATCATGATTTAAAGGAGGCTCAGTTAAGAGTTAAGTAGAAAAGGGCCGGGCGCGGTGGCTCAAGCCTGTAATCCCAGCACTTTGGGAGGCCGAGACGGGCGGATCACGAGGTCAGGAGATCGAGACCATCCTGGCTGACACGGTGAAACCCCGTCTCTACTTTAAAAAATACAAAAAACTAGCCGGGCGAGGTGGTGGCGCCTGTAGTCCCAGCTACTCAGGAGGCTGAGGCAGGAGAATGGCGTGAACCCGGGAGGCGGAGCTTGCAGTGAGCTGAGATCTGGCCACTGCACTCCAGCCTGGGCGGCAGAGCGAGACTCCGTCTCAAAAAAAAAAAAAAAAAAGAGTTAAGTAGAAAAGGGGACTCAAGATGCCAGTGGATAATCTAGTAAGTTTTTTAGCTAAGTAATTAAATTTTTTCAACCAATAGCAGGAAATCATCAGGAAAAGTATTTAGAAATAACTGAAAACTTCTTTCCCTTTTAAGATTTAAGTTATACTGTTGTTTTTCTGTGGATTTTTTTTTTTTTTTTTTTTTTTTTTTTGAGACAGGTTCTGGCTCTGTTGGCTAGACTGGAGTGCAGTGGTACAATCAGAACTCACTGCAGCCTCAATCTGTCAGGCTCAGGCAATCATCCTGCCCCAGCCACCTGAATAGCTGGGACTATAGGCGTGTGCGATGACACCTGGCTGATTTATTTATTTTTTTAACTTTTAGTATAGTTGAGGTCTGGCTATGTTGCTCAGGCTGCTCTCAAACTCCTGAGCTCAAACAGTAGTTCCACCTTGGCTTCCCAAAGTGCTAGGGTTATAGATGTGAGCCACTGCACCTGGCCTTTTCTGTGGATCTTATAAATCAACTACACTGTCCTATGGAGTGTGAAGTAACAACATAATTTACCTTTTAAAGGGATGTACCTATACCAATCTTGCTGCTATACGATAGTCATATATTTGAGTTCCTTTTTTATACCAGACACTGATTTAGGTGCTATGGATTAATGGCTCCCCAACTCGCAAAGCCAAACATACTTGCTGCTTCTCAAATATGCCAGGCATGATCCTGCCTCAGGGCCTTTGCATTACTCCTCTCTTTGCCTGGAATTTTTTTCCCCAGATATCAACATGGTGAGTTCTTTTACTTCATGTCTTCTTACATATCACTTTCATTGAAGCCTTCTGTCCTATGTGAAATTTAGCATTTTCTTGCCCCAACTTTTATTTATTTTATTCTAAAATTTATTTATTTTTTGCCTCCCCACCCTTGCTCCAACTTTTAAAACATTTTTATTAAAAATTTTTAAAATTGTGGACTAGGTGTAGTGGCTCAAGCCTGTAATCCCAGCACTTTGGGAGGCTGAGGCAGGTGGATCACCCGAGGTCAGGAGTTCGAGACCAGCCTGGCCAACATGGCAGAACCCCATCTCTACAAAAAATATAAAAATTAGCTGGGTGTTTTGTCTTCTCTGTAACTTGCCGTGAGCACTATTGACAAGGGAGTAGTCAATGGTCAACTATAGGCATGCACCTGTAATTCCAGCTACTCGGGAGGCTGAGGCAGAATTACTTGAACCCAGGAGGTGGAGGTTGCAGTGAACCGAGATCACACCACTGTACTGCAGTCTGGGCAACAAAGCGAGAGTCTGTCTCAAAAAAAAAAAAAATTTTTTTTTTTTTTAGTTGTGGAAAAATACACTTAACATAAAATTAGTCATCTTAACCATTTTTAAGAATACAGTTCAGTCCTCGCCCCAACATTTTATATTTATCTTCCTTGCTTTGTTTTTTGTTCACCTTGGCACTATATTTTCTTTATTTTGTTTGTTGGTGGTTTCCTCCAGCAGAATGTAAGCTCCATGAGCTCAGGAATTTTTGTTCACTGTATTGCTAGCACTTAAAATGGCATATAGTATGTGAGCAGAGCAGGTATTTGTTGAAGTATAAATAATGCAAAACAAATTTCAAATAGAAGTGCTTTGAAGGCAGTGGTATGGTAGAGAGTGAGAGGAGGAAGTGGTTGGCACTTGAGCTAGGGTGGTCAGAGAATGTTGCTGTGGAGGAAGTGACATTAACTCAGAACAGAATGAAGGAGAAGGAACCAAACATGTCAAGAACTCTCTAGACAGAGGGAAAGGCCTGAAGTGGAAATAATTTAAAATAATGCTCTGACTGCTGTTTGGTGAAATGATTGAAAGGAGGTCAAGCATGGAAATCCAGGAACCAGTTTGGAGGCTACTACAACAGGCTTTCTAGTGCAGATAAGAACTTTGAATCAGATGGCAGCAGTACAAATGGAGAAAATTGGATGGATTCAGGATATTTTGGATGGAGAATTAACACAGTTTATTAATGGATGGGATGGATGCTGGGTTGGGCAGGGGAATGTGTGGGGAAAGGAGAAATCATGGATGATGAAATAATGGATGAGCTCAATTTTTTGCCTTTAGTGGATGGTAAAATGGAGAAACTTAGCTCATGCCTATAGTCTCAACTACTTGGGAGACTGAGTCAGGAGGATCAGTTGAGGCCAGGAATGCAAGGTTACAGTGAGCCAACTACATGATCATGCCAACTACACTCCAGCTTGAGTGACAGAGCGAGACCCTGTCTCTAAAATGAAGAAAAGGCCAGGCGCACGGTGGCTCA